GCAACTTAAACAAAATTCCCTACTCATAAATTTTAGCGATCAAATATATAAGAACTGAATACGAATATGTAAATATTTTTACAGCTTTAGGCGATGTAAAGTCTGTGTTAGTTTAAACATATTATACATATTCTTTTGTTCACTCATATTGTTCTCCTATCCCAAGTATATTGTCTTATTATTCTGAAAGCTAGTTAGCGACATTATGAAGCTGCAATTAAAAATTATTTTCTTAGTACTAAAGTTCGTTTTCTGTTTTTTAACGGAGGCCAATGGTAAAGATGACGAAAATGAAAAAGAAAACGAAAGAAGGATCCAACATGAACGGTTATCCGAAAAGGTTTTACGCAAACCGACTGTCTCCGAAATAACCAGCGCGATATCGGATTCAGAAGTTTATCAAAAGATACAAGTAAATAAAAATATATATTGAAATTAGAAATACTCGTTTGGGACTTATTTTCAAGTTACCAAAATTATGTAAATGAAAATATTTTGTGTCCATTTAGGTATCGTAAAAATAAATTTGGTCTTTGTTCTATGTTGTTGTGCCAGATGTTACCATATGTACTGTTTTTCATAGTTATACTTTTGAACAACGTTCCAGTCTGCTCCGTTCTTTAGTTGGATTTTTGTTCAATAATTTTAATCATAAAACATCCCTAACTCCTGACTTGTTTTCACCGCTGGTTCTGTCTCTTCCAAATCAGCACTCAAATTTTTTATGTGGACAAATTCGTTGCGTTCTCATTACCGTTCAAGACCTAATGCTATGATCTACTATTTAAATTTCCCTTGACCAATACAACGTCCCTATTGCTTCTAATTTCCAATCCTTCCTACTGTATATCTAGCTATTTTTTATAATATTTCAATTCTTCACTTCCTCTTCTTGATTTCGTAAATGAATGTCTAGTGACTTAGCCTTGGAATTAAAGTCTCTCTAGGTTTTAAGTTATGTCACTAATGAAGGTAACTGTAAGCCAGGTATCAATTGCTGATCGTCTTGCTTTTGCTTACATCACGCATAGCATGGTTTGCTATGGGTGATGTAAAGGTGAATATTGAGGATCATTTAGTTAAATCGATTATGCACAATCTGTTGTGGAGTCATAATTTTCCCTACCTTTCTTGCTGACTCTCACTCCATTCTTTCTCATATTTGTCTCTTGCACCAGGCTGAGATGACTTTTGATGTTTTACATCACATTTTCGCCACTCTGTCCTTCTCGGGCGTATCCTGTTATTTCTTTTCCTTCCCTCTTTTATGTACATTTCTATATATCCTATATTTATAATGTCTAAACACAAAATGCGTTTAACAAAAATAATATTCAAAACCAAGTTGAATTATTGCATGTTTTTAGGTGGAACGTTTGCAACAATTCATGTACATTGCACCGTATGAGGTTGCCTTTATTGAAACGTTGAACGCATACAAGACACTAAGTTCCAGACCAATTGAATTTAGCACTAACGACATAACGACACTGACCTCAAAATGTGACGATGGCGAATCGCTAAACAATAGAATTTTAACTCAAATAAAATTTTACCGTAAATTACAAGAGATACATTGCACGAACTGCGTATTCCTTAAGGCCGCTTTAGCCCAAGGAGAAGATGATTTAAAAGATATTGTCCATTACGTCTACTTAATGATAGACATGTCTTACAGAGGTGGATTTATAGTGAGCGATTGGCTATGGAAGTTGCATGTACAACTGTTAGAACTAAAAAAAAACTTGTTGGACACATCAAAATTGCCAAACGATTGCTTACCAGAGATGAAAGAAAGCCTACGGAAAATTTTAACGGAGTGTCGTGGAAATAATTACATAATTAACGATGATCCTCTACCGTCAGATATGTCTTTGAAAATGGACGACCAAAAGTATCGAATTTTCTTCTTTGATAATTATAAGTTGAGATTGGGGATTGATGTCGGAAATTTATTGTTGAACCACTTGTGGAGGTTGCTTCGTGAATTTACTGAAAAAATAACCGGCCTTTTATTTCGATGGACATGTATATATCCTATAATTGAAGAGGAAATTAACAATCTCTCGAAGCAATATACAAGTGGAGAATGGCCAAAACAACCGTTCAAACACATTAAGTTACACAAAGTTCTTTTGGACATCATAAAAGCGAAATGGTACTGTTATATTTGGATACATTTATTCGTTTATCAGAAAATAGGAAGTAGAGCTCAATACTATTATGATATGTTAATACATGTAATAAATGCACAACTTAATTTTATGTATACTGATGACCAAACCTTTAATGACGTATTAATCTTACTTAGTAAAATATATACACCCGAAGACGATAAGATAAATACAACTATAGAATTATTAAAGAACGAAGTCAACCGCATTTTGAGAAGTGTCACTGGACCGAATTATGAATATAAAGAGGCTACAATTTCTTATGAATTAATCAATAAAAAGACTAAAAGGTTTAAAGATCCCAAATTTCTTCATGATCATGTAAATAGCTTGAAGCACTTTGTTTTAAATATAAATAGCGACATGGATAAAACAAGTTTAAGTATTTTATTATTCTACATAAGAGGAAACCAATTCACCGACTTCGTTTTTCCAAATGAATGATGAAAACCTTTGATTATCAAATGTAAAATAAAACAATTTTTTATTATAAATTATTAACCACGTATAAAAATTCATACTCACTACAGTAATAAAATGTTCATTGCTAAATGCTATTTAAACCATTGTTTTGATTCATAATAATAAATTGTCACAGCTTTAGCTGTTGTCATTATAAATTATAAAACTAAATAAAACATTTAATAATTATCAATCACATTGACATCTCATTAAATTGGTTTTTGATTTCTAGAAGTTGAAGAGGTATATCGAGTTGTCGATTATCCCTCCCATCTTCCCAGTCGTGGCCTACTATCTCTTTCCTTTTCTCCGTTGGTTACATTTCTTCTAATCACAACTACTCCTTAATTCTTGATGCCCAACCGTCATCTGACATACAACGTATTTCATTCTTGATGGTGGTTTTTTAGATAAATTAATTTGTAAGCACTATTTTACATGTAAATTACGATGTAAATTTATATCATTTGAAAATTTAAATAGACTAACTGCGTTTAATAAAACCAATAAGTTGAGATTGGGGATTGATGTCGGAAATTTGTTGATGGACCACTTTTGGAGGTTGCCTCGTGGATTTACTGAAAACGTAACGGGCCTTTTATTTCGATGGACATGTATATATCCTGTAATTAATGAGGAAATTGACAATCTCTCGGAGCAATATACAAGTGGAGAATGGCCAAAACAACCGTTCAAACACATTAAGTTACACAAAGTTCTTTTGGAAGTCATAAAAGCGAAATGGTACAGTCATATATGGATAATTTTATTCGTTTATCAAAAAATAGGAAGTCAAGCTCAAAGCCATTATGATAGGCTAATAAAGATAATAAACGAAGAAGTAAATTTTTTCCATACTGACGACCTATTCTTTAATGACGTACTAAATTACTGAGTGAATTATATACACCCGAAGACGAAAAGCTCCAATTTTTGGGAGTTCAAGAAATTTGGTTTAGAATCCAACATTAAAATAACTAAGTCACCACCCTGTCAAAGCTAATCTAATGAGTTGGCAGAAAGAGGGGTACAAACAGTTAAAAATTATCTTATAAAATATTTATTAGATTATAAATACAATGATTTTAAAATAGAAGAATCAATTTTAAGATTTATTAGTAGTTACAATAATGTACCGTCAACGGTAACGTTAAAATCACCCTTTGAGATGTTGTTTTCTTATAAACCCAAAACCAGAACAAATTTGTTGAATAAAAAAGTTTTAAATAATGAAGTAAAATATAAAAATAAAAAAGTTGCATTTAATTTAAATAAAAATGTATACTATATACAATAAAAACAAACTATTTGTTACTTATAAAGAAAGAGAGAAAGTAATTTATAGAAATCATTATAAAGAGTTAATAAAATGGTTACCTGCAACAGTTGTGAAAAGGTTGAGTAAACTTATTTATGTGATTAAAGTTAATAATGAGATGAGAAGAGTACATTGTAATCAAATAAGATACCCAAATAAAAAAGAGGCGTGTAAATTGGGGACTGAGATAATAAACATAGGAAATAAAGATAAGATAGATAGAAAGAAAAAAGGGAAACATTTGAGAAGATTAAATCGAGAAATTAAGAAACCTAAAAGGTTTAATTAAATTAAATAAAATATTAATGAAAGGAAATTATGTATAAATGTAAACTTATATTTTGTAATTCATTTTATGTTATGTTTTTTATATTGTGTTAAAATGATTGAAACTTGTAATGATCACATTTTTATTGTTTTAATTAGGTTTAAATATTTGTCTAAATTAAAGGGAGGAAAGTGTTATTTATGTTAATGATTATTAATGATAAGGTTTATTAATGTTACTGTTATCGGTCGAAAACAATATACAGTCAGTCTCGTATAGTCCGTATTAGAGTACAGTGATATTATTTAGCATTCAGTTTGAAAAAATATGTCTGGTATATGAAATTGTATAAAAATTTACCTTCTATCATTTAAAAATAAAAGAATTATTTGTTAAAGATCTGTTTTACATATTACCTACATCGGATCGGATTGGTAATAATGGCAACACAGAACTGTTGTCTTGGCTAATAGTAGATCTTAAATGGTTTCTGACTCATATTGCCAGAATAACATGTGGCTAAACAATTGGCAAAAAACCGTTGTCGAAAACAAATACAACATTACATACTCTATAGTGAACTACAATACTTTTTTATTATCAACAATTGTTGTTCTTGATATATTTTTTTCATAAGGAACTTATACAAAATACCATGCTCATAAATTTTAATGACTAAATATATAAAAGCTGTATACAATTATGTAAATATTTTTACAACTTTAGACGATGTAAAATCTGTATAAGTTTTCAAATATTATTCGTACACCAACTTATTGTTCACTCATCGCGTTCTCTTAACTCGAAGATATTGTCTATTTATTGTGAATGCTAGTTAGTAACATAATGAAGCTGCGATTAAGAATTATGTTCTTAATCCTAGAGTTGGTTTTCTGTTTTTTAACGGAGGGCAATGGTAATGATGACGAAAATGAAAAAGAAACTGAAAAAAGGATCCAACATGAACGGTTATCCGAAAAGGTTTTACGCAAGCCGACTGTCTCCGAAATAACCAGCGCGATATCGGATTTAGAAATTGATCAAAAGATACAAGTAATTTAAAAAAATATATTGGGATTAGGTATATTTGTTAAGGATTTATTTTTTAATTGCTAAAATTTTACAAATACAAATATTTTGTGTCTAGTTGGGTATCGTAAAAATAAATTTGGTCTTTGTTCTATGTTGTTATGCCAGATGTTACCATATCTACTGTATTTCATAGTTATACTTCTGAACAACATTCTGTTCTGCTCTGTTCTTAAGTTGGATTTTTGTTCAATTATTTTATTCTATAAAACATCCTTAACTCCTGACTTGTTTTCAGCGCTGATTCGGTCTCTTGTAAATCAGCACTGAAATTTTCTTTGTGGACAAATTCGTTGCGTTCTCTTTACCGTTGAAGATCTAATGCTATGCTCTACAATTTAAATTTCTTTGACCAATACAACGTCCTTATTGCTTCTAATTTTTAATCCTGCATTCTAGCTATTTTAAGTTTGTTATATATGTCTGGAATATGCAAAATGCCTAGATGCAAAATCATTTTAGGCAATGGTGTTACACTATTATAATACGGAAAAGATCTAAATAAATATGAATTCTAGAATGGATCATTTAAAAATATAGGAATTACTTCTTAAAAATCTGTTTTTTCTATTACCTATTTCGGGTCGGATTGGTAATAATGGCAACACAGAACTGTTGTCTTGGGCCTTGGCTAATAGTAGATCTTAAATGGTTTCTGACTCATACTGCCAGAATAACATGCGGCTAAACAGTTGGCAGAAAATCGTTGCCAAAAACAAATACTACATTATATACTCAATAGTGAACTACAATATTTTTTTGGTGTCAACAATTATTGTTATTGGTATATTTTTCATATGGAACTTATACAAAATACCATGCTCATAATTTTTAACGATTTAATGTATAAAAGCTGTATACGATTATGCAAATATTTTTACCAAGTTGGTTTTCTGTTTTTTAACGGAGGGCAATGGTTAAGATGACGAAAATGAAAAAGAAACTGAAAAAATAATCCAACATGAACATGGAATTACAAAAATATATTGGAATTAGATATATTTGTTTAGGAATTTTTAATTACCAATATTATACAAACACAAATATTTTGTGTTCAGGTGGGTATTGTAAAAATAAATTTGGTCTTTGTTCTATGTTGTTGTGCCAGATGTTACCATATCTACTGTTTTTCATAGTTATACTTCTGAACAACATTTAAATCTGCTCCGTTTTTTAGCAGGATCTCTGTTGAATTATTTTATGATATCGTATTTCCTTTGCGAATAATATAAAAAGAATTATTTTCTTAATACTTAAGTTCGTTTTCTGTTTTTTAACGGAGGGCAATGGTAATGATGGCGAAAATGAAAAAGAAGCTGAAAATAGGATCCAACATGAACGGTTATCCGAAAAGGTTTTACGCAAGCCGACTGTCTCCGAAATAACCAGCGCGATATCGGATTCAGAAATTTATCAAAAGATACAAGTAATTACAAAAATATATTGGGATTAGGTATATTTGTTTAGGACTTATTTTTTAATTACTAAAATTATACAAATACAAATATTTTGTGTCCAGTTAGGTAAAATATTTATTGTATAACAGCTTTCATGTACACGCCAGATGTTACCATATCTGCTGTTTTTCATAGTTATACTTCTGAGCAACATTCCAGTCTGCTCCATTCTTTAGTTGGATCTTTGTTCTATAATTTTTATCCATCAAACATCCCTAACTCCTTACTTGTGTTTACCGCTGGTTTTGTCTCTTATAGATAGACAGCGGGTGTTTTCCAGCACTAAAAATTTCAATTGTGGACAAATTCGTTGCATCCTCATTATCGTTACCACTGATTGCTATTCGCAATCCTGCATGCCGTCTATTTTTCTAATTCTTTTAATTCCTCACTTCCTCCTCTTGATAAATAAATGTCTAGTCTATCGGCTTAGCCTGGGAAGTAAAGTCTCTCTGGGTTTCAAGTCATATCAGAATTGTAGGTAACTATAAACTAGGTATAAATTGCTGATTGTCTTGTGTTTGCTATCTTTCGTCTATCTTAGCACCTTTTACATTTTACTTCTCCCACGTATAGCATGTTTCGCTATGCAAGACGTAAAGATAAACACTAAAGGATAAGTCGGTTAAATCAATTTTGCGCCGGTCACAATTTGTTACCCTCCCTTTCTTGTCAACTCTCACTCAATTCTTTTTATATTCGTCTCTTGCGCCAGACCGAGATGAGTTTAGATGTTTCACTCCATATTTTCGACGCTCTCTCTTTCTCAGCTGTAGCCTATTATTACCTCTCCTTCCCTCTTTTACTTCTTCTGACATACAACTACTCCGTAATCTTGATCCCCTACCGTCATCTCTCCTATAACGTCTTTAATTCTTAACGCTGGTTTCTTCGTTTAAATAAATTACTTTGTAATTTTTTACCAATTTTGTTAAACGTCATAATTTTATATCATTAAAACCAAATGCGATTAGTAAAACTAATATTCAAAACCAAGTTGAATTATTGCATGTTTTTAGGTGGAACGTTTGCAACAATTCATGTACATTGCACCATACTGGGTTACCTTTATTGAAACATTGAACGCATACAAGACACTAAGTTCCAGACCAATTGAATTTAGCACCGATGACATAACGACACTGACCTCAAAGCATGACGACGACGAATTTCTGAACAAAAGAATTCTGACTCAAATTAAACTTTACCGTAAATTACAAGAGATACATTGCACGAACTGCGTATTCCTTAAGGCCGCTTTAGCCCAAGGAGAAGATGATTTAGAAGATATTGTTGATTACGTCTATTTAATGATAGACATGTCTTACAGAGGTAGATTTATAGTGAGTGGTTGGCTATGGAAATTGCATATACAACTTTTAGAACTACAACGAAACGAGTTGGACACATTTAAATTGCCAAACGATTGCTTTCCAGAGATTAAAGAAAGCCTGCGGAAAATTTTAACGGAGTGTCTTAAAAATAATTACATAATGATCGATGATTATCTACCGTCGGATATGTCTTTGAAAATGGACGACCGAAAATATCGAAATTTCTTCTTTGATAATTATACGTTAAGATTGGAGATTTATGTCGGAAATTTGTTGTTGGACGGCTTGTGGAGGTTTGAGGATAAATTTTCTAACAACATAACTGGCCTTTCATTTGGTTGGCCAAATATATATCCTGTCATTAAAAAGGTAGTTGACAATCTCGTGCATCAATATGAAAGTAGGGAATGGCCAAAACAACCGTTTAAACACATTGAGTTACACGAAGTTCTTTTGGACGTCATAAAAGCCAGATGGTATAGTCATATTTGGATCATCATATTCGTTTATCAAAAAATAGGAATTCAAGCTCAAAGCCGTTATAATAGGTTAATAGAGATAATAAACGAACAAGTTTGTACTTTCCTGACTGATGACCCTTTTTTTAACGACGTACTAAATTTACTGAGTGAATTATATACACCCGAAGACGAAAAGCTAGATACAATTATAGAAAAACTAGAGGTCGAAGTAAACCGCATTCTCGGTAGTGTCACTGAACCAAATTCGGATTATGGAGCGCCTACAATAGATTTAGCATTGATTAGAAAAAAAACTAGAAATTATGAGGATCACGAATTTCTTGGTGATCTTGTATATAGATTTATAATCTTCAGTTTAGACACTAGCCGTTATTTGTCTGGTACAAGTTTAAGTATTCTACTATTCTTTATAAGAGGTAACCAATTCGACGACTTTGTTTTCCCTAATGAATGATGAAGATACTTTAAATATCATATGTAAAAAATATATTTTTTTTTTTATATTTCATTACCACGTATAAAAAATCATATTCACTATTTAACTAAATTGTTCATTGCTAAATTATATTTAAATTATTCTTCCGATTCAAAATAATAAATTGTTTTACATTGAACTGTTGTCTTTATAAATTTTAAATCTAAACAAAACATATTATAATAATTATTAATTACTTTGTTTCCTATTTCAATTTAAAAACTTGTTAAAAACCCGAAGAATATTATTTTTATTAACAAGTACAAAATTTATCCAACGTATGTGTGTACAGCAAACAGTCGGTACCAAGAACGGCTGTAGCTGTTATTTTGTGTATGATCAAAAAAAACGACGTGCAGATATTATACCTACAGATATAGTGGTAAACAAAATATAAAAAAATAAAAAAGCTCGGATTTTACATTTATTATTACAATTTTTTTGATCGTTGACGAAAGATCATTTAATAGCGATAGTAATAATAAAAAGGGGGTTGACGTTACTTTCCATTAAATAGGACCAATTCGTTTGCCCTTGTCGGTATTAACCTGGGAAGATTGCATATTATTTTAACGACTATAGTAAAGAATAACATCAAGTCAGTTTGCCTAGTTAGTAGAAATACAAATATCGTTTAATATATCTTGGCGATAGGATATCAACGATAACAGTTGATTCAACCTTACTGTTAACTATTTGGGACTGTGAAATTTTACACTATGCAATATCGAATATCATATTTGATATTTCCTATAAAATATTTAGAAGGAATATTTTGTGTGCACGCAGCGAAATACAAAATAATAATATGGAAACCACCGTTTTGTTGCATTAACAGTTAATTGGTGGCATCCGCGACAACCAGATATTGTAGTTAACTTCATTGAACAAATAGTATTGTCTGAATTATTATTTATTTATTTCTATCGACAATACGAATACATCTGGGATAATAAACATTAATTTGTAAATATTTTAACGTTCGGAATTCATAACAATATAATAAAACTAGTATTTGTGTAATTAACGAGTACTAACAAGTATTTTACTTTTTTAGTGTCTAAAATATATTACCATAGGAAAGAAAAGGTTAGCTACATAGTTTAATACATTGCAAAATACCTAGATGAGGAAACAATACTTAAATATGAGAAAGCATTAAACATTTTTAACTTTTAGAATTGATCATTTGAAAATAAAGGAATTATTTCTTTTAGATATTTTTGAACTTTTATCGGACCGGATTGGTATAAATGGCAAGGCAGATCTGTTGTCTTGACTAATTGTAGATCTTAAATTGTTTTTGACCTATATTTCTAGAAAAAAATACAGCTAAACAGTTGGCAGCAAACCGATGCCGAAAACAAATACTACATTATATACTCTATAGCGAACTACAATACACTTTTGGTGTCAATAATTGTTGTTATTGTTTTTTTTTCATATGGAACTTAAACAAAATTCCCTACTCATAAATTTTAGCGATCAAATATATAAGAACTGAATACGAATATGTAAATATTTTTACCGCTTTAGGCGATGTAAAGTCTGTGTTAGTTTAAACATATTATACATATTCTTTTGTTCACTCATATTGTTATCCTATCCCAAGTATATTGTCTTATTATTCTGAAAGCTAGTTAGCGACATTATGAAGCTGCAATTAAGAATTATTTTCTTAGTACTTAAGTTCGTTTTCTGTTTTTTAACGGAGGGCAACGGTAAAGATGACGAAAATGAAAGAAGAGGGTTCAACATGAACGGTTATACGAAAAGGTTTTACGCAAGCCGACTGCCTCCGAAATTACCAGCGCGATATCGGATTCAGCAGTTTATCAAAAGATACAAGTAAATAAATATATATATTGGTATTAGAAATACTCATTTAGGACTTATTTTTAAGTTACCTAAATTATGTAAATGAAAAAACTTTGTGTCCATTTAGGTATCGTACAAATAAATTTGGTCTTTGTTCTATGTTGTTGTGCCGGATGTTACCATAACTATTGTTTTTCATAGTTATACTTTTGAGCAACATTCCAGTCTGCTCCGTTCTTTAGTTGGATTTTTGTTCAATAATTTTAATCATAAGACATCCCTAACACCTGACTTGTTTTCACCGCTGGTTCTGTCTCTTCCAAATTAGCACTCAAACTTTCTTTGTGGAAAAATTCGTTGCGTTCTCATCACCGTTCAAGATCTAATGTTTTGCTTTACCATCTAAATTTCCCTTGACCAATACAACGTCCCTATTGCTTCTAATTTCCAATCCTTTCTACCGTATATCTAGCTGTTTTTTCTAATCTTTCAATTCTTCACTTCCTCTTCTTGATTCCTAAATAAATGTCTAGTCTACTGACTTAGCCTTGAAATTAAAGTCTCTCTAGATTTCAAGTTATGTCACTAATGAAGGTAACTGTAAACCAGGTATCAATTGCTGATCGTCTCGCTTTCGCTTACATCACGCATAGCATGGTTTGCTATGCGTGATGTAAAGGTCATAATTTCTCCTCCCTTTGTTGTCGACTCTCACTCAATTCTTTCACATATTTGTCTCTTGCACCAGGCTTAGATGACTTTTGATGTTTCACACCACATTTTCGCCACTCTATCTTTCTTAGCCGTATACTGTTTTTTCCTTTCCTTCCCTCTTTATGGTACATTCCTATATATTCTATATTTATAATGTCTAATGAATAAATTAGAAAATGCGATTAATAAAAATAATATTAAAAACCAAGTTGAATTATTGCATGTTTTTAGGTGGAACGTTTGCAACAATTCATGTACATTGCACCGTACTGGGTTACCTTTATTGAAACATTGAATGCCTACAAGACACTAAGTTCCAGACCAATTGAATTTAGCACCAATGACATAGCGACACTGACCTCAAAGCATGACGACGACGAATTGCTGAACAAAAGAATTCTGACTCAAATTAAACTTTACCGTAAATTACAAGAGATACATTGCACGAACTGCGTATTCCTTAAGGCCGCTTTAGCCCAAGGGGAAGATGATTTAGAAGATATTGTAGATTACGTCTACTTAATGATAGACATGTCTTACAGAGGTAGATTTATAGTGAGCGGTTGGCTATGGAAATTGCATGTACAACTGTTAGAACTAAAAAAAAACTTGTTGGACACATCAAAATTGCCAAACGAGTGCTTACCAGAGATTAAAGGAAGCCTACGGAAAATTTTAACGGAGTGTCGTGGAAATAATTACATAATGAACGATGAGCCTCTACCGTCAGATATGTCTTTGAAAATGGACGACCAAAAATATCGAATTTTCTTCAAGAAAAACTATAAGTTGAGATTGGGGATTGATGTCGGAAATTTGTTGTTGAACCACTTTTGGAGGTTGTCTCGTGGATTTACTGAAAACGTAACGGGCCTTTTATTTCGATGGACATGTATATATCCTATAATTAATGAGGAAATTGACAATCTCTCGGATCAATATGAAAGTGGGGAATGGCCAAAACAACCGTTCAAACACATTAAGTTACACAAAGTTCTTTTGGAAGTCATAAAATCGAAATGGTACAGTCATATATGGATAATTTTATTCGTTTATCAAAAAATAGGAAGTCAAGCTCAAAGCCATTATGATAGGCTAATAAAGATAATAAACGAAGAAGTACATTTTTTCCATACTGACGACCCATTCTTTAACGAAGTACTAAATTTACTGAGTGAATTATATACACCCGAAGACGAAAAGCTAAATACAATTATAGAAAAACTAGAGGGCGAAGTGAACCGCATTCTGGGAAGTGTCACTGAACCAAATTCTGGTAATGAAGGACCTACAATTGATTTGAAATTGATTACAAGCGCGACTAGCAATTTTAAGTATCCAAAATTTCTAGGAATACTTGTAGAAAGATTTCTAAGCTTCATTTTATACACTAAAAATCTAATATCTGGTACAGAGTTAAGTATTCTAGTATCTTATATTAGAGGAAACCAATTCGCCAACTATATTTTCCCAAATGAATGATGGAGATACTTAGAATATCAGATGTAAAAAACATATAATATTTTATTTTAAATAATTTACGAAATATAAAAATTTATACTCACTATTTAACTAAATTGTTATTCATTACTAAATGATATTTAAACTATTGTTTGGATTCATAATCATAAATTGTCTGACATTTAGCTGTTTTTCTATAAATAAAACGTTTAATAATTATCAATCACTTTGTAACTCATTTTCTTTTTAAATAAAATTATACTTTTATTTTAAAAATTAAGGAGGTATTATTAGGGAGATTCAGGTAACAGAGTTTGAATTCGGAGAAATCTGATATTAGGATCCAGCTGTGGGTATCTCTCTGTGAAATTTGCTGCTGACTTCTGTTAATTAAATACAGGACTGTTGAAACTCCCAAAAAGCTTAACTTGTATTTGAGAACTATGATAGTTAAAACAAGAGAGGCGTTGTCATGTTAATAATAACCTACCTCTAATATATTTATTTTATGCTTTACAATTTTCTTAGCTAACTTGACAGGGCCAATGTGTCAACAATATTAGTTATATGGTTGAATATCTTCTTGGAGGGGGTCCTTTATTGGTGAATATATTTCTTCTTAGGTGGACTTAACACGTTAATAACAAAAGTAATTTATTTTATTTCCTACTTCATACCTACAAGGCGATAAATCCAATATATATATATATATAGCTTAACTGGAAGTTGGAACGGTCGCATTCGCAAAACCAGAGAGCTATGTAGTGATCAAAGATTAGTGCATGCAATATGTGGGTGTGTGATTTTTTAAATGACTTGGACTAAATTCAATTTTAATAATTGAATAAATATTTTAAAAAATCAATTACAACTCAATAATAAATAAACAATTCATAAATAATAAATAAACAATTGCCCCTTTGGCACAACAATATTATGGTAAAACAA